TGTCCTGGGGCCCTTGCCACTAATTCCAAAGCCCCTTTACCCCTTGTTGTGGGGGCCTTTTTTATGGTCCTGAAGCAGTACCCTTTTACGTGTTTGCAACAGGGGCCCCTTCCTGCTAATTTTCCAAAAATTTTCAAAAAAATTTTAGGGAAACCTTTTTTTTTTTCTATGGGGTTCTGTCACCCTTTTAGGCAGAAAACGTATCTCCCCCTCACTGGGCCCAAACTAAGTACCTCTTGGTGGGGGGGCCTGAATGCCAAAAAGCTGCATATTTGCATACCAAAATGTCAAAAAAAATTTTGGTTGAAAAGCGCACACCCGGGGGGTTCATTTTTTAAACTTAAAAAAAATTAAAAAAAAAACCTTTTTTCCCCAAAACCCACCCCATTTCTGAAACCTCCTAAACTACTGGGAGATGCCTGCATAAAGGGTTTTTTAAGGGGACAACAGGGGCTAAATGGGTTAGATTTAATTTCCACCTAGCGGGTTTTTGGGGTTTTTTATTGGGTTTCAAATCTTCCCAAGGAAACCACCTGCCTGGAGTTTGCATGTTCTTCCCTTTTGCCTGCTTGGGGTTACCTCCAGGTTTTCTGGTCTCCTCCCACCCCCCAAAGGGACTTTGGCGGGTGGGTTTAATCGGGAATCCGGGCCAAAATTTGGGCCCCCAATTTTTAGGTGTATTAATAAGGGTAAATTAGGGCCCTTAAAATTGGGTACACCCCTTTGGGGGTTTAGGGACTGATGTAAATTTTTAAAGGGTAAATGGTAAAGCATTGAAATATTTTTTTGGTTTTATAAAAGGGTCCCTTTTGAAGTAAAAATAAATAAATAAAAAAAAAAAAAATAAAAAAAGGGGGGGGGCAAAAAAAAAGGATGTTTATTCTATAAAAACCCCTTTTGTAATATCAGGACCCCTTTGCACACTTTTGGGAAAATTGCCTCCCTACCCCCTTTGGAAAATTTTTCCTCCCACCTCCCAAATTTAATCCCTTAAACCCCCATACCCCCCCACAGCTGTTTTCCCCCTTGGTACATTGCTGCACCCTCTACTACTTATGCCCGGGCACCTCCCAGATCCTCCAAAACCCCCCAGCACACTGCGGGCCCCTTTCCCAGCATCTTCTTATTCCCCAACTCACCTCTATATTCTTATTATTATTAAATTATACAGTATTTTATAAAGCTCCAATTGTTCGCTCAGCACTGTACTTTACACAAGGGGGACATAACAGGTTGACAGAAACAATACCAATTACAATGCAAAACCATGAGGTGGGTTCGAGGGCCCTGCTCCTTGGGAGCTTACAAATCTAGGAGGGAGGAGGATGGTGGCACAAGAGGAGATAGCTGTGGGGGATGGAGTGGTAGGCAAGATGTGAGGAGGTCGGCCAAAGTTAGCAGGGGGTGGGTAGGCTTAACCTGAAGAAGGTGGGTTTTCAGGGTGCGCCCTAAAGGAGAGGAGATAGGGTGATAATCTGAATGGGTTGGGGGCAGGTAGTGATCCAGAGAGATGGGGGACACTGCCTGGAGAAGTCCTGAGAGTGGGCAATGGAGGAGAGAGACCAAGGAACTAGTAGAGAAAGAGGTCTGTGTGAGGAGCGAGATGTCGTGCTGGCTGGTGTACTTGGATATTTGGCTCTATATCTTCCAACATGTCTTTGTAACCCCACCACCACACATTTACAACCTCCCAGAACACATCTATATACTCACCATTTTATGCATATCTCTTGGCACCCCCACACCTCTGTACCCCCCCCCCCCCCACACACACACACACACCCTCCAACCCCCAAGGCAATCCATTTCTTTGCCCCCCTTTCTCTTTAACATACACAACAGTGTACTTTACAGTACCCTGGTCACTCTGTGGTCCATCTCTGCTGCACATATTGATCGGAGACAGCTCTCGTAGTTCCCCAAATCCTACCTCTGTCCTCTTAGCTTAGTCAGTTTACTAATGTAGTGAGTGGAGGCGAGGGATTGGGCAACTCTGTGGTGCCCACCCATACATCCGCTCTATGGGACCCCTCTGCCCAGCAGTTCAGCTATACAGTGCATAGGGGCTGAGGGTAGGGCCTCTTGACCCGGATAGGCCTCGCGTCAGTGCTCCCCCCCCCCACAAGTCAGCTCGCTTTGGCTTGTGCAGTGAAGCCTTGGTGCCCAGCACCTGGGTCAGAATCCCCTCCCCTCTCCACTGTATAGTTGAACTAACTGGCACTGAGGTTCCAGTGCCATATACAAAAACCCGTTGCGACCACTGGTAGGTTCTGCCATTTGCAACTCCTCTGAATTAAACCACTTGAGCTCGCTGGAAGTTTGACCCCCCCTCATGACAAGGTTTATTTTTTGCTATTTGGCACGGTGCTAATTTACCTGGCAATTGCACAGTCATGCAACACTGTACTTCAAATTAAATTTATATCTTTTTTTCATACAAAAACAGAGCTTGCTCTTTTGGAGGCATATGATCACTCACCGGGTTTTTTAATTTTTTATTATATATAAATAACAAAAACACTGAAAATTTTTGAATAAAAATAGTTTCTACTTTCTGTTGTAAAACATATATAACAGTATATAAAAAAACACATTTCCTCATAAATGTATAAAAAAACTATATTCCTGCTACATGTTTTTGGTAAAAAAAAAATATAAATATATCTCCCTGGTAGAAACCTATTCTCTCTGGAAACCAAAGTATATCTAAAAATTCCATCAAGTGGTTTTACACATTTTTGAGACCATTTGGTTTTAAGTGTTATTAGTTGCTATCAATGTGGAGTCCCTTTATTGCTCCATTCCCCACCAAAGAGTTATCCTAGTACAAAACTATTCTTGTCAAAGTAAACAACATTCAGAGATGCTATTTGACTTTGTTTTACAGTTTCTATCTTTTATCCTGTATCAATATGTTTGTTTTTAATGGTTCCCACTTCCTACAGATACGGGGCGTAGCGATGGGGACTTGTTGTGCCCCGACCTATGCCAATACCTGGGGGAGTGGGGACATTTGTTTCTACGTGGGTGCACTAGGGCCCTGGTTGCCATTGTGCTACATGCTGGGGTCCAGTGCACTCCTTTGCCTTTAAGAGGGGTGGCTCCCTCAGGTCCACCTGCCCTTGATCTATCCATTAAATGCATGTGCCTCTACTATGGGGACTCATAAATTTTAGAGTTAGGACCACAGATGATCAGGGTGCCGTGTCGTGGCTCTGTGGCTTACGTATGTATTTGCAAATGTGTGCTAACTAAACCCCTGTTATAAACGCATACTGTTAGACAGGTTAATTCGGTTTGTTAGCAAGCTGGCTGGCAAGTTGTCCAAGAACATTGTTCTCTCCCCCTTTTTTTCACTATGTGATGCCTGTTTATGTGTCCTTGCTTCATAAGCCAGTTATATAGACTTGGGCGGGTGGCCACTTTTATGCAGGTCTGATGAATTGTCTTTGTATTTGGACCATATTTTTGACATGGTTAAGATATAATCATGATGACCTGTTGTATGACTGCCTATAGTTTATGAATTCCTAGCCTTGTAATTCAGCCTTCGCTATGACTTATGATCAACATAAAGTGACATTTTTGGATGTGGAGATGGAGGTAACGCATGATGGCACTCTGGTTGGCAATTTGTATAGAAAACCCACTGTGGACCATACCATGCTTAGAGACAACGGCTTCCATCCTAAACCTCTAATTAGACCTATCTGGTGTTCACATTAAGATGAAAAATTGAAGCAAGCAGCTGATAAATTAAGGCTTTGCCTTTTGGAATGAAGCTTGAGTAAGGCTTACAACAAGGCTTAGAGGCAGTCTTACTGTCAGGGATCCCGGCCGCTCAGCAGTGCACGCATGTGCAGATTGCCGATTCGTCCGAGCCGGCGAGCACGGAGTTCTCGGCGATCGCGGCAACGGCCGCGCATGCGCACTAGCGATCGCGGTCGCACCAATGAGAGAACAGGGCGCCCTATTTAAACCTGCCCTGTGCATCTCCAAATTGCCGCAAGGTCTTGTTCCTGTTCCTGTGTTCCTGTTAGTATGTTTCCTTGTTGCCAAACTCTGCCTGTTCTGATTTACGCTGACCCTCTCCTGCTCTGACCCCGGCTCGTCCCTGACCATTCCTCTTCCTGTAGTTACTGTTATTTTGGACCCTCTGTTACTGACCCTGGCGTGTGACCTGACTACTCTTTGCCTGTTGCTTGGTACCGCACCTGTTCCCACTGTTACTGACCCGGCTAGTGTGACCTCGCTCACTCCTAGCAGTCATCCATCCATCCTGCTCAGATCGGGACCTGTCAGCCCCTTCACAGCAGGCTTATCCCGGGCACATACCCTCAGCGGGACCCCTCTACCAACACCGGGGGTGCCCAGGGGCGCAACCTGGTTCCAGTCTTGCACTAAGTCCATCCTCACCATCAGGGGCTCTGGTGAAAAGGCAGACTGGGACTTAGACCCCGCGTACTGGGAAATCCCGTGCTGTGGACCACTAGAGATCCCGTTGGGCGGAGCCTGACACTTACACAGATCTGTTATTTGGCATGACAACCAGTAAAAGTACTGAGCAACCTTTACAAATCTTATCTACATACAAGAGCCAATATAAGATGATCAGGAAATACATTAAAAAATACTAGCAACTTCTGGACTTTGACACAAAAATAGCAAAATGTATTCCTTTGCAACCTCAAATCATGTATGAATGCGCTCCTTCCCTTTGAGACAGGCTAGTGTCCAGTATATTTGATTCCAAAGGCCGTGGGGATCCTTGCTCCAACAAAACTCTGAGTCTCCCTAATGAATGTACATACCCTCAAATTAAACCAGAGAGTGTGCACTTTCAGCCTATATCCATTATATAACTATAGCTTGAATATGTTTTGGTAAATACCTGAAAAAAAACTAAAATTGTGCCTATGTCCAAATATATATGGACCTAACTGACCCTGCATTCACTATATCTGGTCTCCCCGGGCCCCGTATTCACAATATCTGCTCCCCCCAGACCCTGCATTCACTATATCCGCTCTCCCCGGACCCTGCATTCACTATATCCGCTCTCCCCGGACCCCGCATTCACTATATCCGCTCTCTCCCGACCCTGCATTCACTATATCCGCTCTCGCCGGACCTGCATTCACTATATCCGCTCTCCCCGGACCCCGCATTCACTATATCCGGTCTCCCCAGACCCAGCATTCACTATATCCGGTCTCCCGGACCCCGCATTCACTATATCCGCTCTCCCCGGACCCCGCATTCACTATATCTGCTCTCCCCGGACCCTGCATTCACTATAACCCGCTCTCTCCGAATCCTGCATTCACTATATCCGCAACTCCCCAGACCCCGTATTCACTATATCCTCTCTCCCCGGACCCCCGCATTCACTATATCCGCTCTCCCCAGACCCCGCATTCACTATATCTGCTCTCCCCGGACCCCGCATTCACCATATCTGGTCTCCCCAGACCCCGCATTCACTATATCCGCTCTACCCGAACCCTGCATTCACTATATCCGCACTCCCCAGACCCCGCATTCACTATATCCGCTCTCCCCGGGACCCCGCATTCACTATATCCGCTCTCCCCGGACCCTGCATTCACTATATCTGCTCTCTCCCCGGACCCCCTGCATTCACTATAACCGCTCTCCCTGGACCCGGCATTCACTATATCCGCTCTCCCAGGATCCCGCATTCACTATATCCGCTCTCCCCGGACCCCGCATTCACTATATCCGGTCTCCCGGACCCAGCATTCACTATATCCGGTCTCCCCGGACCCCGCATTCACTATATCCGCTCTCCCGGACCCCGCATTCACTATATCTGCTCTCCCCGGACCCTGCATTCACTATAACCGCTCTCTCCGAATCCTGCATTCACTATATCCGCACTCCCCAGACCCCGTATTCACTATATCCTCTCTCCCCGGACCCCGCATTCACTATATCCGCTCTCCCCAGACCCCGCATTCACTATATCTGCTCTCCCCGGACCCCGCATTCACCATATCTGGTCTCCCCAGACCCCGCATTCACTTATATCCGCTCTCCCCCGAACCCTGCATTCACTATATCCGCACTCCCCGGACCCCGCATTCACTATATCTGCTCTCCCCGACCCTTGCATTCACTATATCTGCTCTCCCCGGACCCTGCATTCACTATAACCGCTCTCCCTGGACCCGGCATTCACTATATCCGCTCTCCCCCAGGATCCCGCATTCACTGTATCCGCTCTCCCCGGACCCCGCATTCACTATATCCGCTCTCCCCCGACCCGCATTCACTATATCCGCTCTCCCCGGACCCCGCATTCACTATATCCGCTCTCCCGGACCCCGAGCATTCATTATATCCGCTCTCCCCGGACCCTGCATTCACTATATCCGCTCTCCCCAGACCCAGCATTCACTATATCCGGTCTCCCCGGACCCCGCATTCACTATATCCGCTCTCCCCAGACCCAGCATTCACTATTATCCGGTCTCCCCGGACCCTGCATTCACTATATCCGCTCTCCCCGGACCCCGCATTCACTATATCCGCTCTCCCCGGACCCCGCATTCACTATATCTGCTCTCCCCGGACCCTGCATTCACTATAACCGCTCTCTCCGAACCCTGCATTCACTATATCCGCACTCCCCAGACCCCGTATTCACTATATCCTCTCTCCCGGACCCCGCATTCACTATATCCGCTCTCCCCAGACCCCGCATTCACTATATCTGCTCTCCCCGGACCCCGCATTCACCATATCTGGTCTCCCCAGACCCCGCATTCACTATATCCGCTCTCCCCGAACCCTGCATTCACTATATCCGCACTCCCCAGACCCCGTATTCACTATATCCGCTCTCCCCAGACCCCGCATTCACTATATCCGCTCTCCCCGGACGCCGCATTCACTATATCCGCTCTCCCCGGACCCCGCATTCACTATATCCGCTCTCCCCGGACCCAGCATTCACTATATATCTGGTCTCCCCGGACCCTGCATTCACTATATCCGCTCTCCCCGGACCCCCGCATTCACTATATCCGCTCTCCCCGGACCCCGCATTCACTATATCTGCTCTCCCCGGACCCTGCATTCACTATAAACCGCTCTCCCCGAACCCTGCATTCACTATATCCGCACTCCCCAGACCCCGTATTCACTATATCCGCTCTCCCCCAGACCCCGCATTCACTATATCGCTCTCCCCGGACCCGCATTCACTATATCTGCTCTCCCCGGACCCTGCATTCACTATAACCGCTCTCCCTGGACCCGGCATTCACTATATCCGCTCTCCCAGGATCCCGCATTCACTGTATCCGCTCTCCCCGGACCCTGCATTCACTATATCCGCTCTCCCCGGACCCCGCATTCATTATATCCGCTCTCCCCGACCCTGCATTCACTATACCCGCTCTCCCCGGACCCCGCATTTACTATATCCGCTCTCTCCCCGGACCCCGCATTCACTATATCCGCTCTCCCCGGACCCTGCATTCACTATATCTGCTCTCCCCTGGACCGGCATTCACTATATCTGCTCTCGCAGGATCCCGCATTCACTGTATCCGCTCTCCCCAAACCCACATTCACTATATCCGCTCTCCCCAGACCCCGCATTCACTATATCCGGTCTCCCCCGGACGCCGCATTCACTATATCTGGTCTCCCCTGGACCCTGCATTCACTATATCCGGTCTCCCCTGGACTCTGCATGCACTATATCCGCTCTCCCCGGACCCTGCATTCACTATATCCGCTCTCCCCGGACCCTGTATTCACTATATCCTCTCTCCCCAGACCCTGCATTCACTATATCCGCTCTCCCTGGACCCTGCATTCACTATATATGGTCTCCCCGGACCCCGCATTCAATATATCTGCTCTCCCCGACCCCGCATTCACTATATCTGTTCTCCCTGGACCCTGCATTCACTATATCCGGTCTCCCTAGACCCCGCATTCACTATATCCGCTCTCCCTGGACCCTGCATTCACTATATCTGGTCTCCCCAGACCCTGTATTCACTATGTATTTATTTGTATTATGTATTACATTTATATTTGATAATTCAGTATGGCTCAGATATGATGGCTTTAATTTTATCATACTGTATTGTTATTTTGTATATGTGTATTATTGACTTATTTGTAAAGGAATGGGTGTTTCCACCCACTTTAACTGCATTCCTTTAGGTGGCCTGGGATGTTACCCGGCAAGTGTAACCCTGCACCCTTGGATCCGGGGGAGCAGTTTATTGGAAATGCCTGGTATGTGGTGCCTGTACCACCTTGGTCCCCTGGTCCACCAGTCTGTATCTTTCCAATGTAGTCTCTGTATCTGTGCCTCTTTCCGGCCCTACATGGCGTCGCTCTACTTGCTATGCAGCCCCAGAAGTGGGCCAGAGGTGGGAGAGATATGAAACTTGGGGAGAATGTCCTTCCAATGAATGTCCTTGGCCAGTGTGCAACTGTCTGGTGAGCCACCCTTTGGCTCTAAAGTGCAGTAATGTGGTTGGCTGCTAGTGGTCACCTGACCAGGGGCTCCATATATAGCGACTTTTCAATCAGTTTATGTTGAGTTGTGTAACTTCTGGATGCCTTGGTGAGTGCTGGGACTATATTTTTTTCTGACAGTGGATGTAGTTAAGCCATTTTTTTCACATTTATGGAGCTCTATCATTTTCTCTGGCCTTTCTGCTTATTTATGTATTTAGTTTTCCATAAGGGATACCAACATGTTTGGTTTGTTCTTTTAGGCTAACTTTGGGGTTTGAATGAGATGTGACCCTCTCTCGGTTCCTCTTAATATCTGATGGGCCGTTATTGTGTGGTTGAAACACGCTCACTAGGATTAACCTCTAGGCCTTTGAAATATATTTTTAAAATATTCTTCCAAAATATATTGACATATATTTGAAATGCTACAATTTTGGCCATATTCAATATTTTTCAAAATATATTCCAATATATATATATATATATATATATATATTAAAAAAAAAAAAAAAAAAAAATATATATATATATATATATATATATATATATATATATATTATATATATATATATAAAATATATATATATATTGTATGTATATATATATATATTTATATATATATATATATATATATATATATATATATATATATATATAGCATGTTGAAATGCATTTTTTATATATTACAAAATATATGAAAATATTTTTAAAAATATATATTTTTAAATATATTTTTATATTTTTCAGATTTTCTTTTACATATAAAAAAGTAAGTTTAACATATATTTTTTACATATAATTGTAAATGCATTCCAGAAATGTAGATTTGTATTTTTAAAGGCATACAGTATATTTGAAATGTGTTTTTAAAAAATATTACCATATATATTTTGTAATAAAAAGGCATTTCAACATGCAGTGTATATATATATATACATTTTTGGGAGGTCTTGCCCCTGCCATATTTCTGCTATTGTGGGTATTCTTGTAAGTGCTACATTTTAACCTTGCTGCGTAGCGGCTATTGGTCATTCAAGCCTCTCTATTTAATCTATAACCTTTTTTTTTAAATTTATTATTTGCAATCCAACCTGATGTGGCTACTTGTGTGTTCTTTGTATGTAATCCGGTTTACATCATTATTTGTACTGTCCTGGTATTTTAGGACCTCAAAAAATGAGATAGGTCATCAGTACATCCAGATTGATCAATTTTCAAATATACTGTCAAACACCGCCTGGCGGTACCTCTAGCACTCCACAGAACAGGATTTCCCAGAGCGCGGAATCTAAGCCCCAGTCTGCTGTTCACCAGGGTCCCTGATGGTGGGGATGGACTTGGAGCAGACTGAGACCAGGTCGCGGCCCCTGAGTGCACCCACCTGTGGTAGAGGGATCCGCCAGAAGTGTGTACAGGTGGAAAGCCTGATGTGAAGAGGCGGATGGGCCTGAGCAGTGGTGACCGGATCCGTGCAGGGCGGATGGATAGCAGGGCAATAAGCGTGTTCAGACAGGCCGGTTCGGTAACAGTGGGATCAGCGTGGTACAAGGCAGCAGACAAAGAATAGTCAAGTCACTCGCCGGGTTCGGTAACAGGAGTTCAGATCAGTAAAATTGTCCAGAAGAGTAGTCAAACGAGCCAGGGGTCAGAGCAGGAGAAGTCAGCAAAGTCAGGATCCAGCAGGGTCAGTAACGAATCAATCAGCAGGAAACACACTAGCAGGAACAGGGTAAGAAGACCATACGGCAACTTGTGTCTGTGCAGGGCTAGTTTAAATAGCTCGCCCGGCACTGACAGGCGCGCCTGGGTCCTAGTGCCTGCCCAGCATCGTCATAGGTGACAGGCGCGCCTGGGTCCTAGTGCCCGCCTACCTGCATGTCTTGTCGGACACCTACACATGTGCAGACTCATGCGTCACAGTGATCCCTGACATATACACTCACTGGCCGCTTTATTAGGTACACCCTGTTCAATTGCTTGGTAACTCAAATTGTTAATCAGCCAATCATGTGTCCAATGCATTTAAGCATCTAGACATCGTGAAGACAACTTGCTGAAGTTCAAATCTGTCAGGAATGGACTCAGCACTGGTGGTGGGACTCACCTGCCGTGTGGGCTGCAGTGCTAGGGCTGCTCTCAGCAGTCAGAAGCTCACTCCTGCAGTCAGCCAACACCTGAAGCTGATTGCAGGAAGTGTATTTAAGGGAATGACCAGGCCTGTGATCAGGGCCTTGGCGTATGTTTCCCATGAGCCCCTGTACCTGGCATCCTGTGTTCCTGCCTCGTTGCTGACCCTGCTTTGATCCTCACCTCTGCTGACCGTCTCCTGTTGAACCCCTGGCTTGCCTGACCATCCTTCTGCCTGATCCTCGGTACCGCGCTGCCCGCTACCTGCTGAACCTGGCTTGTGACCCCGAGCATTCTCTGCTTGCTCCTCCTGTACCGCGCTGCCCGCACGATACCGGCCTGTCTGACTACGCTTACTTCACCCGACGATCCATCCATCCCGCACGGATCACCTTTAGTAAGTCTGCCTGCCTCTTCCCATCAGACTCCGTTCCTGCACTCCCCTGCCAGTACTCTCTACCACAGCCGGACGCACTCAGGGGTAGCGACCTGGTTCCAGTCTGCACCAAGTCCATCATCCCCCATCAGGGGACCCTGGTGAATAGCAGGCTGGGACTTAGACCCCGCGCCCCTGAGGAAATCCGTGCTGTGGGCTGCTAGAGACACTGCCAGGCGGCACCTGACAGTACCTTACGGCCTGCCTGACCATTCCACCTCTCCAGCCTGACTACGCCTGTGTTCCTGAAGCCTGCTACTTCCCTGTGTCAATCCACACATTTCTGGTCATACCTGGATCCCTAACAAAATCAAGCATCAGAATGGGGAAGAAAGAATATAAGTGGCTTAGAACATGGCATGGTTGTTGGTGCCAGACGGGCTGGTCTGAGTGTTTCAAAAACTGCTGATCTCCTGGGATTTTCATGCATAACCATCTCTAGGTTTACAGGGAATGGGCCGAAAGAGAGACAATATCAATGAGCGGCAGTTGTGTGGAGGAAAATGTCTTGATCATGTCAGAGGTCAGAG